GCTGTGGGTTTTGCTGTAGGAGAGACACCAGCCTGTCTGTCAGTTGATGCTTGCAGTTGACTCAGGTTGTTAATGCAAAACTGACAGGAAGGCAATAGCCATGACTGCAGCCCTTGCCATTTGGACATACTGCTAAATTTGCTGTGAAGTTACTGTAGTAGAAAAGATGGCCACATGGACTGAAAAAGTGTGCTTGAAAACTGTCCTCTCCATCAATTGAGCCCACCAGTGCACTTAACAAAAGGAAGGGGTTTTTTGTTACCACTGGTAGTTGGGTGATTCCTTATGGTTAAAACTTACTTGCCTGAGCACAGGGCCTCAGTCTTCATGAATGTTTTGCATACAAATCTGAAATTGTCCTTAAATTCTGAAAAGTATTCTTCTTTTCAGTCACAGTATAGATACCTTTCCTATGTCTGCAAGACTAAAATTTTTACTGTCCAGTGGCGTTGAAGCTAAATTACCTGATAAAGGTAATTATGAAATGACTGGTTGCCTAAGGGAGAGGAGACCTTGAACTGGCAAACAGATCTTTGAGAATGCTTGTCTGTGATACCAGTGGTTTTTAAAACTGTATTTCTTTGGTTTTATATTTTTGACAGTGGTTGGCATTAGGAGTTGTCCAACCCAGTAGTGTGACAGAGGCAAGGCTGCTGTAGCTCCATGTCCCTGGGTCCAGCCAGTAGCAAAGCTGAGCATTTATTCCCAATGGGCACATATGCCCACAGTGCATACATACATGGCTGGCCACAGAGATCAAGACAGAGAGAACAGCACTTGCACAACCACAAACAATGCAAGTGGCCTGATCCTGTTCCCTTCTCTGGCTGATCAGGGTGAAAGGCTTTTAGTGAAAAATATATTAATGTGTACAGTGTAGATTCCTCCAGTAACTGGCCTTAGACACTTGGTTGATCCAGGAACTGTCTCCTCATCCTCTGGTCTCCTCTGTTGCTGACCTGGCCATGCAAACCTGCGAGGCTTGCAGCCCCAATTCAGCTGCTGGCACTCGGACCCTCTTGGACATGCACACGCATGCACAGATGAATACACTATTGATCCTTCCAGTTACTGGCCTTAGCCTTGTGGCAGTTGGCCATGGGATTGCCTCATGCAAATGGGTCTCTTGAATAGCTGGTCCAGACCTGTGGCCTTAACATTAGCCAAACCTCAAATGCCAAGGCCTCTCTGGTGTCTGGCTTAGACCTTCTGGTCCTTCCACTAGCCATCCCTCAGACCCTAGTCTCTTGTGGCTGGGTTGAGAGCGAATCTTTCAGTAGCTTAGACCGTCTGATCTTGGCAGAGTCTGGCCCAGTCTTATGGCCTGTCTGATACCTGGCTTCCAAGCCTGCTGCTCTACTCGTGGGCTAGTCTGGCTTGATACTTACTAGTGATTAGGTGCACCAACATGCACACCCACACGCTACGTGCACACACGTTTAGTTTCTGGCACTGCAGGCTCATGGGCCCCTATGGTCTTTGGCCATCTTTGGCTGGCAATTTGACCTCTGTGCATGCACACGGAATGGAGCCCCCCATCACCCAGGAAAACAGAAATTGAGTTGAATAAGGAGGCTGGTGATCAGGCACGCAACATGGCCAGCTGTACTGACTGGCAACGTGTTTACATGTGACTGGACCCTCTTATCTTCTCTCGTTTTTGCATTCTCATTGCTCCCCAGTCCACCTTGATCCCACAGTGAGCCCCACACCCCAGTAGGCAATCGGTAAGGTGGTCTGGAGACCCTCTCCTCTTGTCTCATCTGCCTGGCCCATGGGCTGACTGCTGTCCTATATTGGGGCTGGGTCAGGGTGCTCCATGTGCCTGGGTTAGGTTGCTGGGTTTCCTTCACCTGACATTATTTTCTGCTTTCTGTTTGTGGAGACTGGCCTTTGATCACATAACCTATAATATAGGTGAGCAAAGTATCCCTCCCTAATGCTGAAGGTGACTGTTCCTGTCTGACTAGTAACCTTGCCCAGTTAACAGTGACTGTGCCTGTTTGATGAACAGCCACAATGCATCTCCCTAGCTTTGAAAAGCGCTTGTGGTACTGTCATTGTTTAGCCCAGCCAGCAACTAAGCACCATGTAGCTGCTTGCTCACTCACTTCTCCCCCCTGCAGTGGGAGGGGAAGGAGAATCAGAAAAAAAAAAGTAAAACTCTTGGGTTGAGATAGGAACAGCTTAATAACTATAACAACATATAATAATAATTGTAATGAAAATGAATATAGCACAAAGAGAGAGAAATAAAAGCGAAGAAAAGACGAGTGATGCTCAGTGCAAATGCCCAGCCAGTCCATGAGCAGCCATCTGGGGCTCCTGGTGGCCAACTCCCCCTAGTTTATATACTGAGTGTGACATTCTGTAGTATGGACTATCCCTTTGGATAGTTTGGGTCAGCTGTCCTGGCCATGCTCCCTCCCAGTTGCTTATTCACCTCCTTGCTGGCAGAGCATGGGAAACTGAAAAATCCTTAACTTAGGATAAGCGCTACTTAGCAACAGCTAAGACATCAGTGTGTTATCAACATTATTCTCTCACTAAATCCAAAACACACTGCTGTACCAGGTACTAGGGAGAAAATTAACTCTATCCCGTCTGAAACCAGGACAGGTACTTATTTGTGGTCTAAGCTTCCCTGAAGTTGTATTTCAAGTAAAAAAATTACCTTCATGAGCGGCATTTTGAATGATCTTATTGTGAATAACAAGAAGAAAATGCTGTCCAATGATACCAGTCTCTTAATCGTTTGTATGTGAAAGCTTTATGGAATATGGTAGCATTTGGTCAGTTGATAGAGATTTCTGTTGGCAGGAAAAAAAACTTAGTCTAACATTAGGTAAATTACATATGTATGTATCCTAGTAACATTTTTGTTTCAAATATGAAATTTGTGAATGAAATACAAGGCTGACAACGTTGTCATCATGCTAAAACGGATATTGGAAAGGCCTAATGTATCGGAGAAATGACTTGGGCAGTAGTTCAAGCTTTCCTCTTGCCTTGGTAGTCTGGATAGGATAGTGGCTCAAGGCAGCTAAGAAAACACAGCTCTTGACAGACATTTTTTTGGAATGCCCTGTAATAATAGCAAGACAATACTCTTCCAAACTAGAAAACTGTTTTTGAGAGATAGTGTATGAATTTATCCTGAAAGTAATGAGAGACAGTTACTTCAAAAAGGTACACAGTGGAGACTGTAAAGATTGTTCTTCAGATAAGCACAAGGCCTTAATGTGCCTTGAAGTTTTTAAGAAACTTCAAAAGCCACAAAGATTGATGTAAGAGAGTCTGGCAGAGAGAACTTGTGGTTTTATACCATTTACTTTCACAGAATCACAAAATGTTAGGGGTTGGAAGGGATCTCAAAAGATCATCTAGTCCAACCCCCCTGCCAGAGCAGGACCACCTAGAGTAGGTCACACAGGAACGCGTCCAGGTGGGTTTTGAATGTCTCCAGAGAAGGAGACTCCACAACCTCTCTGGGCAGCCTGTTCCAGTGCTCTGTCACCCTCACAGTGAAAAAGTTTTTCCTTATGCTAATGTGGAATTTTCAGCGCTCCAGCTTGCACCCTTTGCCCCCTGTCCTGTCACTGGCCATCACTGAGAAGAGCCCAGCCCCATCCTCCTGACACTTGCCCGTTACATATTTCCTTAGAGGAATGCAGGTATCCCAGTCACAATCTACATTATCCTTTTTTGTTCTTGAATATTTAATTGTGGAGACCATTCTTAAGTCATGAGAGAGAATTACTTGACTAATTCCTGCAAGCATGTGTATCTACAGGATACGAAGATTTCCTGCCATCTCTACCAAAGAGCTGCTCCACCCCTCCAACACTTAATGAGGCTTTGTGAAACACTGTGTTTATCAGGTCATTTTTCTAAAGTGTTGAAAAAAGAAGAAATTCTAGAGCTTGCCACTTTTGATGCTACATTAATCTATTAAATCTGGTATTTGTGAAACATTGGCCTTTACGGGTACCAGATAACCCTACCAAGATGGTGCTGATTAATTTCAAACTTGCAAAGCCATCTTCCAGTAGAGTTCTGAGCTGTAGTCCTTAAATATCTTTTCATCATCAAGCTTTTGGGTGTGTTTTCTTCTTGCACGTGTCTTTCATTCGCAGACCCCAACTTTCAAAGGAGGATAAACAGTTTCTATTGGCATTGTGTCACCAGAGGAAGTCGCTCAGGAGTATACCCCTTGCTTTGCAATATTCTACTTGCTCATTTAAGATTTTAGATCTTGATGTTGATTTTCTCACCAGAACCTTTGAAAATACACTTCTGTTGCTTTTTAAAAATATTTCCTGTATTAATCTTGTATAAAATGTAGTGGTGGGCTAGTAAAACCTGCTTTTTTAGTTGTTAGTGTAGCACAAATCAATAAATTATTAGTCTTGTCATTAGTATAGAGAAGGAAAACTTGCCAGATGTGGTGGTTATTTCTGTATTGCATTAACCTTTTGTTATTAAACAATGGAATTCGTTGGTGCTGCAAAGTCCTTTTGTTAAAACTAATTTTTGCAGGTTTGCACTGAATAGTCATGGATGAATAGGGATTGTATTTAAATGGACCATGTAACTTTTAAAATGCAATGTTCTACTTGCCTCTCTGCTTGAAGTAGACAAAGTTATTGCAAAGGTGAAGGAGTTCTTTCCAGCAGTAAGTGTTGCCATTCACTCTATTTGCTATATTATACTAAGCCAAGAACATAGAATGACCCTAAAAAATCCCAGCCCCTCTGTTTTTCTCACTCTGAAAATACATGGAGAGGAAAGGCTAAAGGATGGGGACCATTCTTCCTTAAAAGAGTCCTGGTTAGCACTTAATACTCCTTTTTGTATTATTTGAGTTCGATTACATAGCCAGTCTTCTGCCAGGTTACTAACTAGTCAAGTTATGTTTGAGCTAGAAACTAATCCATTTAACTTTGCCATAAAATCAGTAACATTTATATAGGTTATTTTTGTCTTATCCTGTTAGGTGTAAGAATTTGTCTGTATCTTTCTGGAATTCCTATTGGATGCTGCCCTCTGATGTTTGTGGAATGAACTGCTTTTGGGAAGCTGCTTTTAGGTAGGATCTATTATTAAATAGTACTTTATTATTTGAATGCAGATAGGTGTAGCTGATAAGTATTTTTTGCTATTTAGCAAGGTGACAAAGCAAAATATTTCAATTGCTTTACATGCATTTCACCTGCTTATATTGTGGTTGCCTTTAGCTGGGCTTTCTCCTGTTCTATTACGCTTTTAAAAATGCAGACTCAAGTGTTATTAGGAAGAGTAGATTTTTTTCAGTTATGTTGCTTCATTAAATAGAGACTTGCTAACGTTGGTAAAAAGTCTATCTGAATATATTCTGAAAAGTTACTGATGAATTAATTAGTTTTGATAAATAAAACTTGCTGCACAGTAAGACCTGTGATGTAACTCACAGTAAAAATATGCTTAGTACTTTAAGTTTGGAGGTTTTTTTATTCAAGTTATGTGTTTTATAGAATTTGAGGAGGGTACTTCATCCAAAAGCATTGAAACAGCCATTTTAGAATGTGCTTCAAGATGCAGTATGTTAAAGCATAGACAGTGTCCTTAAAGTTGCATCTTTAAAAATAAGTTTAAATGCTTTGATGTGGTTGTTCACATGCTTTAGGCTGTCAGATTACAGAAGTAGTTTGAAAAGAAATGGAAGAAACCTGAAGTTACTTGACAGATATGTTCTCTAATGTGCATAGTTCTCTTCAGTATATAACAAAAGTTGTAAGTCAATTTTTCTTATATTTAAGATTTTACTGACAATCCTTCGATATGGTTATCCCTTCCTCTTAGTCTGAAGTTTGAGTATTTCTAGAGAAGCAAAGGGGGAAAAAAAAAAGTTTAGCTTTACAAGACTTAACGTATTTTTGAAAATTATGGTTGTGGAAAAGACTTTAGATCTGTCCCCTATTCCTCTCACCTTGTGTGCTGGCAGTGCTTTTTAAGCTCATCAGTTGCCAAGAAGTTACTTAAAGAAATGGCTTAGATTGATTTTTAGTCTATTAGTGAAGTGCACCTGTAATTTGGGACTGCTGAGTCTTTCCTGTTGCCCTTGGTAGCTGGGATGTCAATCCATAGGGATTTGTCTGACTTTCTCTTTGGCAGATATAGCTGTCTGAATGGACTCAATTCACTTTATTTTCTTCTTAAAGGTTAGCTTTTGGGAGTTAGGATTTATGAAGTCTAGCACAGGGGGATAAACCAAATGTCACTGCTGTTGTGGTGGGGGGCATAGGGGCTTAGCCTATGCTTGGTGGAGGGACGGGATGTGATTGTAAACTTCATTCACCCACGGACATGTGAGCCATTCTAACAGTCCTGCAGTGCTGAGAGAGGAGAGGGTCTCACTGTCTTCTGACCCCATTCACTGTGATGATGTCCGTGAACTCCCCACAAAACAATGTAATGCACTGAAATCGCAGAAAACTTCCTTTCTGGGCTTTCTGCCAGGCTTAAGGCAAGTGGGACCTTGGAACCAGAAGGAGAGAAACCCCATGCAGTTCCTTTGCACTGCAGTTCCTTAAGCTGTAACTGGTATTATTCTATTAAGAATGCCATATGGGCTGTGAAGACAGGTCTGTTGAAGTATGCATTGATTGTGATGTTACTGGGTGAGAGCAGTTTCTTTCATGGTGAACCCCTGACGTTTGCAAAATTTCATGTTGAAATGAAAAATTACATTTTGAAACTGAAAGAAAAAAAGTTGCTTAAATGTGTAAAGGAGTTGTGGTGTTCAGATAAATAATTTCAGATAGAGTTTGATTATTTTATCGAGATATTATTATAAAATTAATCCCCATATGTTGTGCTGACTCTGGTGCTTGTTGAATTCCTCATTGAGATGCTCTAACTTCAAAGGGGACCGCCTTGTCTCGCCCAAACTTTGTTTATTTCTTGCTCTGTTTAGTAACTTCAGTTCGTTTCAGAGAGGTGCAGTTTGTGTTAAGAGGTGGGGAAGACGGCAGAGAGGAGGAGAAAGTGCTCCCTCTTTGGAGAGCAGCAAGCAATTACCATGGCTCAGCATCTGAACCTGCTGCCTAAGCCTCATTTCCTTGTATGTGCTGAAACACAGAAGATAGTTGCAGTTCGGTTTCAGCTTTGGATATGAGTTATAACTTTGTTTAACTCTCAGACCAAGTATGTGCATTGTACTAGGTGCAGTAAGAAGCTGAAGGGTTTAGACCTTTGATATCTTACGCTTGAGACGTGATACTTAGTGGTTGTTCTCAAGTTTGCAGTCAGATTTTTGGAGGAAGAGGTATGAACTTAATTCCATGCAAGTTTATTAACCACAGCAAATGAAGTCTAGCAGTCTTCTTTTCTGAGATCGTATGCATAGCGCCACTCCAAGATTCTTCATGAAGACAAAGCTTCTTGAAAGCTTTTTCTGTGAAGAGGCAACATTGTGGTTCTAAATTTGGTATCTTTTGAAATAGAAGGGAATGAGAGTTCTGCCTAGTGTCCTATTCCAAATAATTTGTTCCTAGGTTGACTAAGCCTTTGTGTTCTTGTTCAGTGCAGTTGTTGTAGTGAGGTGCAGAATAAAGCTGGACTCTGAAGAGACTGGGGTAGGGAGAGGGATATGAGAAAAACCTAAGAGTTGAAATCTTAGGATAGCTAAGTCCACTGCCTATAGATGTGCCAACAAAATAATGGTAATTCCAATGAGTTTGCTTTTAATAGACATCTTGAATCTTCTATTTGTCCTGGTTTAATCCATAAAAAGAGAACAACACTATTTATCCAGAGCGTAAATTAGTTTGTGAATGGAGATTCTGGTGTTCTATTCTTGCTGTTTCAATAAACTAACCAGTTTTTCAGAGGAGCAAATCATATATAGCCAAATTTCTTTGCCAATAGTAGATTTGTAAAGTTTATCTCAATGTTAGAATGTCTCCTTTCCCTTTACCAGTGAAGTTTTTCAAACAGTGGAAGGTAGTCCTTCAGCTTTTGGGTTTTTTAATATTTTCTTCGAAAAAACCCTTGTTTTCTCTCAGTTTCTAACTTGAAATTCCAGTTGGCTTTTTTCTCCTGGATATCAGACCTACAGAAATTTGTTTATCCATGAGAGAAAGAACTTGGCATGGACATTTTTGAAATGCAGCTTGTTACATCATTTCCTCTGAGTAGCTGGAAGTATATAAAGTGTGAAGTGACAACTGATGTTCTGTGGATTTGTAAGACTTGAGTTAGTGTAACAGAAGTGTTGGAGACCTACAGAGGAATCTGGAAATTTTTTAGGAGAGGTGTGTATGTAGACTTCAGTATGACTCATGCTGAGCTAATTCAACATCATTTGAAATCAATCAGCTCTGAGCAGCTGCTGATTCTAATAATGAATAATAAGGATCTTGTTGCTTTAAGTTAATCAGTGTAAGATCTATTGTCTATGCTGTATAAGGGAAGGGTTTTGGAGCTATTCTGCCCTCACATTTTTTGTCACCAGTCTGATTATCGACATTATTGAGGCAGAATGTTATATGTTGTGCTTTTGGTACAGAGTACTTGTTAGCTTTCATGTTGATAAAGGAAGCATGAGATCACTTTTACATACAGCAGTATAGATTTCATCAACAATTTTTAAAATGCTGATAAGGGCTCAGGTTTACTTGCTGACGTGAGTTTCAGGCTTCACGTGATCTAGATGATGTGTATCTTTCCTAGTACACCTTTCAAGATCCTCAAATGTCATCTAGCTTGTGTGGCTGCTTATTTCCTACTGACACTAAGAAGAAATTCTTAGAGGTCATTACTATGGCTATCTGACTTGCCAGATTCCAGTTGTTGGATGTTGCTTCTAAGTGGGTTTTAACTTGCATTGCCTATTAATTAAGTTTCACTACTTTTTGAGTATATTGAGATTCTGGTAGTGTGGATATATTGAGATGAATTGTGACAGTCCTGAAAAACAGGAATTCTCCTCTAAACTGGCTAGCTCACTGGAGGATGGGACTTCAGACATTTATAGTCAATTTTTAAATGACTGATATATTGTAACTTCAAACCTAATCTACTATTTGAGTTTGTAATTGGATAAATGACATTTGAACGTCATACACACTGGTCATTGGCATACTTTTACAAAATAACTCTTATGACCTATTTTTAATTCAGTGCAGTAGTAGAAAGTTAAGAAGCTGAATAAAAACTAGAATTTTCATCACTTCAAAATCCAGATAATTTCTGTAGTCATCTTGATCCTACTTCTAATAAGTGTGGGAATGATTTAACAGTTGCATTTTAATCAGCATAGGCTTTGTTGCCTTCTCACTCTGCCTATTTCCTTTTCTTTTTCTAGTGACCAAAGGCTGCTTGGTTAGGCTCCCTAATGATCGATTGATTTAGATCAAACACAAAGCATTAAAAGAAAAAAGGATGGGATAAGTAAGCCATCTGTATTGTATTTACATATCTACCATTTGGTTTTCTGAGGCACATCATGGTGCCAGGTTTGAAATAATACACGTTGATTATATGAAAATATTTTCCCTCCATATTCTAATGAATATAATTTTCATTTTCCATGCTAATTGTCAAAAAACTTGTATGGGTAAAATATTTGCACTGATAATGTTGTTAGCTTTTTATACTGAAGAAAACACATTTGCAGTAGGCTTCTGTTTGTTCTTTTTGTAAGTGTAAACAACTTTAATGTATCTGAGCCTGGCAACCTAGTCCATTTGGCTATAATATCAAGGAAAGTTAGTTTCATGATGTTGTGACAGGACTGAGAGACTTTATTAAGCAACCTTGTTTAGGAAGCTGAATATTGCATGCCTCGTACGATACAGACCGTATGGAGAAAAGATCAAAGAAAAGCAAGGCTGTGGCTCAATCAGAACCAGCGTAGGAAAACTTGTTTTGATGTAGAATAATTTTAAAAATGTTTTTTGTAACCTACAAAATAATTCTTGCATCCTTGTGTTACCATTATATAATACAGTGGTGGTTGTGCATAAAAACTAGTGGTGCAAGTTAGGATGACATCAGTTTTCTCAGAAAATTACAAATATTTTTACATTGCTCAAAACTCTTACTGTTTTTTAATATAATTGTATCTCCTCAGTGGGCCAGAGTAAAATTTGAAAGGACAATTGAGGTCAATTTATTGCTTCAGTTATTTGTACCACTCTGTGCTCTCAGTATCTGAATGCTAATCTTTCCTTCCTTGACTTCACCAACCATGTTAAGGCAATAGGAGAGGACGGCTTGATTGTCAGTGAAGTTGAGCACTAGGCATCTTCTTAGTATAGATCAACTCGACTGCACAAAGTTTGTAACACAGAGTTAAGCCTGACAGTGGTTCCTTCATGACTTTCCATAATAACAGTGCCACTATACTTGAATGTGGTGTAAAATAAGGAGAAAAATAAAATTGCCCTTGGTCACACTGACAACTCTTTGGACGGTACCCAGGTCACACTAGATGCTGTAACACTGTGGCCACTCTGGAAGGTTTGGAGCTCGGAAGGCAGTGGTGTGTGCATGCAGCAGAAGAAGCTGTTGTACTGTGACCTCAATGAAGCAGGCTAAGATTGGGACAGGCTTAATGATCACAAATTAGATGGAGTTGTATATGGGATTCCTTATGTCTGTCTGGGTGTTCCTGAGGGTTTGGTACCCTCTCACATGTGCTTTTAATGTGTTATGTAAGAAAAAGGAGAACCCTACCTTAAATGCATGCAGGAGACCCCCCCTGCTGCAGTACCTTGTGCCAAGTTTAGAGGAGGGAGCTAAGATTTTCATGGAGCTGATGAGTATTTTAGCGACAATATCATTTGGGTTTTGGGTTTTTTGCAAGGAGTTCAACTGGGATGCAGTAGTGGTTCTAGAAGAGTACAACCTGTCAAAACATACCTCTGTAGCTTACTGTCATATTCTTACTTCATAATTTTAATTGACCTAGAAATGCTGATTTTTATATACAGTGTGTCATGGTATAAATCTTTAAACAGAAGGCAGTGTTTTGACAGACAGGCTCTGGAAAATCTTGTTGTAGGAGATTCATTGAGCATATCCAGCTATGTTCCTCTGTACAAGAAATCTGTACTGCTGAAAAATCTTGAGTCATTTGGTCGTGCCAGACCCAGGGCTGTCTAAATGAACAAGGTTTTCCTTTCCCTGCCTTCTGGTGAGGTAGCTGCATGAGTTAACTGCAGTGGAGGAAAGATGGAGAAAAGCATTACAAAGGCTGGAAAATTCAGGAAGGAGAAGTAGAGAGGGGGGGAGCCATTGAGGGCAGATAATTTTGAAAGGAATTAGAGGAAGGACCAAAGTCATGTAGATATAATATTGAAGAAGGGAGTGAGACAAGTCGTGGCATAGATAACTGACTTGGAGGAGAGGGTGGGCATGCTAGTTTTGAAGGTACTGCAGAGCTCAAGCTGATAAGCTCTGCTGGACAACTTAAACTTTATGCTGCTTCTAGTGGGAGGAGGAGGAAAAAGTGATGAAAGGTTCTGGCAGTGAAGGATTAGCACAAGAGGTGTCCCTGGATGAAAATGGGGCAGTGATTTCCCTCTGGGAGAGGAGAGAGATGTATATGAGGGAAAGGAGCAGCACTGAGGCCTGATAATTAAAAAGGAGGCTGTAATTGCCAGTGGTCTGTATGCAGGGCAGTTAAATGCAGCTTATAATCACTAAATAATGTCTCTTCATAGAGTCTGGAGTAAGAACCACAGTTCTGGAGTCTCATGACTTCTCCTGCCGTAATATGCCGTAATATGAGACCTAATACGTCTCATACTCTTCTTAGTGGATAGTCCCCAGAGGGAATGGTGGCCTCTTCTCTCCAATGGCTTCTTGCTCCATCTGCTTTAGGGATAAAGCTTTGTGTTGTGGACCTAATGGATATGAGTCCAGCTGTTTCCCCATAATGTCCAAGCTGAAATTCAATTGTTACTAGCTTTTTCTAAATATTTTTTTGCCTTTTCAAAAAACTGGTTTTAAGCATAGATTTAAAAAAATTGAACTCATGAACTCAGAAACTCATAGAACAGAGATTGTTTGAACAAAGTGACTGTAAAAGCATGGTATGATCAGTCTATTTGTTGTTGTGTGTCTTGAAATGTTCTTTATTCACAGGTGTCACTAGATGTAGAAGTAATAAAATACAGTCTTTAAATGTCAGTGCAATTTAGAGTTGCTTTGGCATAATTTTTGTCATACTTAATTCATGGAAAGCCATGTGTTACATGTGGTTCAGGAACTTGGCTTTCACCTATGCAGTTTGTGTAGGTTGTGCCCTTATTTATCACATGACCTTGCAATATCACTGTAGGCTCTCATGACTTCAGGGCTTAATTATTGTAATTCCTTTTTCAGTGGATTAGTGATGAGGCTAATCTGCTGCTTGCAGCTTGTTCAGACTACAGCAGCGTACGTGTGTGTGGGTTTGAGCTACCCTCATCATATTCAGCTTGCTTTGTTTTTTACGTGAGCGACTTGCTACATAGCTTAATGTTTAAATTAGCTTTATGTATAAAGGTCTGAATGGGCATGCCTTGGTTACATTTAAAGATCCTGTTTTCTATTTTTTTCCTTTTAACCTGAACTAATTTTTCAGGTTTTGCTGCAAGACTTCTGAAAGGTTTTACTCTGTGGATTAGATCATGTCTGCAGATAGGTGTCTATGTCAAGTAGGTCTTAAGCGGTCATTAAAATTGAAAAAGCGTAGAGAATCATCCAGGTGACTAGTCATTAAGTTGCTGAGAAGTAAATGCCTGGTGTTAACTGAAAAGCACTTGGGTATCCTAGTGTCTCCTTAGGACTAGTAGATACAACATGATCTTGGAGACACTCAGTCCTTTTGGACTGGCACCTGGAGGTGGGATATTCTAAAGCTTATTAAATGGCACTATACCTATGTTAAAAAATTGAATCAAGCCCTAGGTATTTACTTTGAAATAAGATGAATTGCTGTCTACGCTCCATACCATGCACACTAGATCTCTATTGGCTTTAGTGAGACTTTGGATACAATCTCGTGTGTCAGCATTCTCATTTAGGTGTCCTATTTTGGATCCAAATCCTACCTATAAGGTCTTTCATCCATTTTTAATAATGCCTCAAACCTTGACTTAAGACTGACTGGATGTTCTAATTAAAATTTTATTAATCTTAAATCCCTGTGATGCTGGAGTTTTTTAGTTCCAGGGCATTAAACTCTTCAAAAACTCAGAATGTTTTTTTTAAATACAGCCGTTATTTATGGCATTAAACTTCAGCAGTTTTACAGTGATATCTTTGCTTGTATTTTGCCTTCTGGAACTCAAAATTACGTGTGTTCCTCTTCCATGCCTTAAAGAAAAAAAGGCATATTTGCATAGTATCTTTTGTCAATTTAAAGGAAAACTTGTATGCATCTAAATGTTTTAGTTACATAAATTGGGTGGAGATTGTGTGCTAAGAATCACATCTGTTAATTTCTGTTTTGAAGTTTTGCTCTGTTTGGCAAGTTTCTAAGAATGGGTGGTATGTTTGCCAAGCATTTCTCTGCTGTTAGCAGTCTGGGAAAGTCTTTTCTAACATCAGATTTTTTTTTTTTTTTGTCTGCATAACTTGGAATTAAACTTGTAATTTAAACCTTCAGATACTTAGTTCTGTTAGTCCCCCTCCTCCCATAGTCTGTGCGAATAGCTCAAGCGCAGAATATTGTTTTGAAGATTGGCTTTGGGTTGACATATGTTTAAAACCTTTGAAAGCTTTTCTGATTAATTAAATATGTGGAATCTAGGAGAACATGGTTTTAGGTTTAGTATGCCCACTGTGTTTGCCACCAAGCTACTGATATGTACCCAATGATAATTTTAGCCTAATGTATTAGAATAATGAAATAACTTTTATACGTACCCTGTGTAATATGTATCAGGCACTTCTCACCATAACTGTTGGACAGCTGTCTTTAGGAAGGAAGGACTTCCCAGTCTTTGAACATAGCTACTTTGATGGAATTCCTTGCTAGTAATGGATAGTAAGATTACTAAGAAAATAAATGTTTATTTAGTTTCTGTACAGCTCTTCTGAACCTTATTTTTCCCTTATATGCTGGGATGGTGGGAGTGAATATGAGTTCAGGTTAAATGTAAGCCTACATATGAGGTGTAATGCTGTAGTTTGTATGTTCTGTTTGAGTTACCCTTTGCTGGTGCAAGTATGATAAAGGATATTTTGTTAAATTACATGCTGCAGTAAATATTAGAGCTTTTCTTTAAGCCTGTGCTAGAAATAATATCAAATGAAAAAATATTTTTGTATCAGATATGATTATATGAAAACACATCCTTCTGAGAAAATGCATCTAGCAGTGGTTGCCTGTGGTGAAAGACTGGAGGAGACTGTTACTATGTTGAGATCAGCCATTATTTTCAGCATCAAACCTCTCCAGTTTCATATTTTTGCTGAGGACCAATTGCATGACAGTTTCAAAGACATAGTAAGTACCCAAATAATTAATTTAATCAATTTGTAGTACAACTTGAGTAATACATAGAAATTTCTCTGCTTCTTGGGTAGGATTTGTTGGATAGAGTGGCAGAAATGCATGGGTCTAAAAATAAGGTAATATACAAGTCTTAATGTTGGATGGGGATTTTTGAATATTTCTCCTGCGGAAAAATGCCAGCTGCTGCTATCAAAGCTCTTTGCAGAGACAGACAGTGACTTCCTGATTTGTTGCCTTGAATCTGTTAAACACAAATCTGATGTTCTGAACACAAACCATTTATCTTGTGTGAGTTTATTTAAAGTTGGTTTTATAAGAGGAAATAGAGAGCTGTCCTTTTTTGTCCCTGTACTTACAGTATGAGTCAGCCTTATATTGTCTAAACAAAGTGAAACATCAGTCTTTGAAAATGGTACATATGGTTATGTCTAATTTTAGAAAATTCCAGTTAATGAATATAACATTATGACTGGAGTAGAAGTATTATAAGCTGACTAGTATATAGCTCTGGAAGGTTTTACTGGTTTTGTGCTTGAAATGTCATACTAAGTATGACATTAGTGTGTTATATATACTAATATATATACACTAATGTCATGTGAACAGTAACTGTGGCAAAAATTGGGTAAGATTATTTTAAATTGAGAAAGACTTCTTTGGTATTTCTCCCATGGAAGCTAGTTAAGAGGGGAAGAAGTTTTATGTATTTATTTTTTGTAAATACTAATTTATTTTACTTGCTTTTACTTTTGTATATAATCTGATAGGATGTGTTCATAGTGGCCTGCAGGTGCCACTTTTTGTTCCAGTATTTTGAATAGTTGACAGATTCTGGTAGTTCAGGAAGCATTTCTGTTAGGGAAGAGAGGTGTTGCAATTGTGTTCAATTATAAATTTGAATGGGGAATTGATTTCTTTTTTGTAATAGAATTGAACTGAAGAAATTTTTGTGATCTCTTCTTTTCACATAGCTTGATGACTTCCCCTATGGAGGAAAAGTTAATTACACATTATATCCAATAACATTTCCAACTGAGAGTGCAACCGAATGGAAGAAATTGTTTAAACCATGTGCTTCACAAAGGCTGTTCTTGCCAGTAAGTTATTCTGTAATAGGACAATACAGAAGTCTGTTTATGAAGCATCAAGCTGTCCATTTTAATCTAATTTCTGCTTAGTTTTAAATTAAGAACTGCTACAACTTCTAAAAGTTACTTTTATGACATCCTAAAAAACCCTCTGAATTTAACCTTCTTCTGAGGCACTAATACACTATGGAATAAAAGTCCTTTTCTGTCTTGCTACATTATGGCACAGTTTCCTCAGTGAGAGGTACAGGTCATGTCATCCTCTCAGAGGTAAGAAGCATTTATCACAGAATCACAGAATGTTAGGGGTTGGAAGGGACCCCAAAAGATTATCTAGTCCAACCCCCATGCCAGAGCAGGACCACCTAGAGTAGGTCACACAGGAACGCGTCCAGGCGGGTTTTGAATGTCTCCAGAGAAGGAGACTCCACAACCTCTCTGGGCAGCCTGTTCCAGGGCTCTGTCACCCTCACAGTGAAAAAGTTTTTCCTTATGTTAATGTGGAACCTCCTGTGCTCCAGCTTGCCCCTGTTGCCCCCTGTCCTGTCATTGGACATCACTGAGAAGAGCCCGGCTCCATCCTCCTGACACTTGCCCTTTACTTATTTATGAACATTGATGAGGTCACCCCTCAGTCTCATCTTCTCCAAGCTAAAGAGACCCAGCTCCCTCAGCCTTTCATTGTAAGGGAGATTCTCCACCCCCTTGATCATCTTTGTGGCTCTTTCAAGCAGTTCCCCGCCCTTCTTGAACTGAGGGGCCCGGAACTGGACACAATATTCCAGATGCGGTCTCACAGCTCATCTCCTCATTTAGCTGGAAAGTTTCCTGCATGTTTGGGTCTGAGAAGCATTAAGAGAAAATGAAACAAGAAACGGGCTATTGTTGCCAGTGTTTTGTTCAGCCTTTTCTTTGCTCATCTAAGATGCTTCAGAAATCATACTTCAGGTTAGGTGAATTATAGCAGTGGCAGCTATCACCCAAATACTGTGTCTTCTGGGGGTTCCTTTACACCTCTCCCTTGTGTGATTAGATGCATAGGAAAGCAAAGGAACAGGAGGAGCATAGGGGCTCTTGTTATGGCAATGTTTCACCTGCCTTGCAGCCTGCTCCTGAGAAGCCCTGGGATACAAAATGTAGACTGAGTGCCTTTGCATTACTATTCTATATAAAACCTCTGTTTCACTCTTCAAAAATTCTCCAAAATGAGAGAAGAGGGAGTAATGACAAATTTATTGACTGCAAACTGTCAGTCTAAAGTGAATTTATTTGCATATGACACAAATGTATTAAACTTTAATGTGTAATGGCAGCAAATTCTGTTTTATGAAGGGAAACTCAATAAAACTTAAAAAGTTCAGTTTTAAATTTCTTTCCCTCACAGTTGATCCTCAAAAATGTGGATTCGCTACTGTATGTTGATACTGACATCCTGTTTTTAAGACCTGTTGATGATATTTGGTCTTTTCTGGGAAAGTTCAACTCCACACAAATTGCTGCAATGGCACCAGAACATGAAGAGCCTCGTATTGGGTGGTATAATCGCTTTGCTAGACATCCCTATTATGGAGTAACTGGAATAAATTCTGGAGTCATGTTAATGAATATGACACGTATCAGAAGAAAGTATTTCAAGGTATGTGTGTTGCCTTTATTTCATTTTCTGTTTTACATATCTTAATTCTAATCCTGTTTCAAATTCATGTGGGACAATATTTTTCAAAATGTTTTTCTTGTCATTGGAATAAAGCTCTAAAAATATGCTGTGTTTAAAATGGTATCTAAGTTGTGTTTCTTAAATGTCATTCATAGTAAGACTTGGAATTCCTGAATTTCAAATGTGCTTGCTTGTTTGGCTTTTTCTTAGTTCTGAGAGATCCTGTGACTTGATACAGTCTGTTGTAAATTACATTTGTCAGTAGATATTCTGGTATTTTTTTCCTCATTGTACAGATCCCAGAAAACAGTCATGTATACTGTAAACTAACTTTAGAAATGTGTGTAGTAGTATGACCAGGAGGTGGTGCTAAAACATTTAGTAAGTTATTTTAACTGTACGGCTTCCAAATTTTGATCTCTTACATTGTAACCAGGTGATTATCACCTTAAGTATCTTTTGATTTACTCTGAAGTCATAGTTTTTGTGGAGAAATAAGTTCATCATGAAAGTACTTAACTAAAGCAGTGCGTGCAGCAGCAGAAGTGGCTGTTGCTTCGCAGATGGGAAGTTTTTTCTTCTGTACTCGAAACACAAGTACAAAAGCAGTTGCTATGTGATTACGCTAGGGGAAAAAGTACTTCTCTGTTTAAGAGAAGTTTGATGAGGGAAAAATAATCATGCAGTCAAACACTGTTGGAAGGTGCATCCATAAGAGGGGCAATATAAACTTGCAGTAGACATTACTTCTCCCCCATTTCCAATTTAAGAAAGATTTAGCTTTCATCTTAACATTCTTCTATTGTGTTTTTGTTATGGAAATGCGGAGAATTTAAAAAGAATGGAGAGTGGATTATCTTGGTGGTAGTTAAAGTAGAAAGTTCTATAGAAAAGCTATAGTGTGTATATATTTATTTGTA